GAATGATGACAGGGATGAACAGAATAAAAGAGAATTTTCGCTTCTTCAGGTTGCCACCCTCTTTCTTCTCCTATGGCAGTCTGTGTTTAAAGTTTCAAATACTGCCCTCAATACTCTTCTTCGCATTTTTTCTCTCTTAATCAGCCAAATTGCCAGCATACCTGAGTTAAAGAATAGGAAAGTTATCTCTGACATCTTTCCTAGTTCATTTGCCAAGGCACAGAAGGTAGTTGGTTTGAACCGTGATGATTTCAAGCGATTAGTATGTTGTGGAAAGTGCTTCGCTACATATGATATAGATGATTGCTATGAGCACATTGGTACTCAAAGTGTGCCCAGATTGTGTAGTTCAGCTAAATTTCCAAGACATCCATGGCGATCAATGAGGGGTTTGTGCAACAGTCCATTACTAAAAGAAGCCATAAAAAAATGCATAAACCAATCAAAGTCTATTGTTACAAGTCAATCATTTCTTCAATTATTACTGCAATTATTTCTCGCCCATATGAGCATGCGCAATTTCACGTGTTGACCTTCTCGTAATGGAGAGCTCGGATGTCCAGCGGATACGGCGAAAGAATACCCCTGCTGAAAAACGAAAGATGAGGAAAGAAAGACGTAAAAGGAAGCGTTTGGAAAGTGAAGTTTCGGCACAGGCTGTAGCTGATACTTTAAAGCAAGAGCGAGAGCTAAGGACAAAGGCGCAGGTTGAAGTTTGGAAGTACAAGCGCATGTCAAGGTCTTTTTGGGAACGGTGGCAGTGGGAATTACAACAGCGAAAGGAATATCTCCAGGCACAAAAAAATAATTCAAGGTCATTTCGTAGTGTTTCAGGTATCACTAATACTACAATTCTTGAAATTGATCCACTTCTGCCGCCCAGTATGCAATCAGTTGATGAGTGTTACATTGATCGGGGGTCATTTGGCGTAGTTAAGGTCCAACTGTATCGTGGGATTAGTGTTGCAGTTAAAGAAGCTTTGCCAAGAACATTGTTAGCTGATGTACGCCGTGAAGCTTCAATCCTTGCACAATTCGGTCATCCCCACGTACCGTACCTGTTTGGCGTCTGTTTAAAGAGCCGCCCATATTGCAATATCATGGTTTGAGTCAGCACATTCAATATCTTTTACATTTTCCTCTGCTTTGTATGATAAACAACCTCGAGATGATTGGTTTATACTGATCGTCCAAGTTATGGAAGGTGTGCGCTATTTACACGAGGATGCCAATGTGTTACACAATGACTTTAAATGTGATAACATCATCATTTGTGACTCTTTTAAGCTCGCCTCTAGTTCAATTTCAAGCCCTAATCATTCATTTTGGAAAAGCATGCACTATATTGATTGTGCCTACAAATACTCCCTGTCACCTGTTGAGATAGCCCAGGCTTTATACACATATGGCACCAGAGGTTATTGAGGGTGTTACTTGTCAAACTAAGAACAGTGACATGTTCTCTGTAGGTGGAGTGCTGCTTGCCATTCTTGATAAGACACATGATAAAGTTGATCATTCATCAGTTTTACATTCAATTGCCAGCAGATGCAGATCAGTTAAATATCTCACAAGGCCACCTGCTAATGAAGTTTTGAGCGAACTTACTGAACTGAAATAATAATTATGTAGCTTTTGCAATTCAGTTGTTATACTTACATGTGTATCACTCACATTTAAATTTGCTGTTACGTTTATCACTGGGTAAATCATCAGTAATCTAGTAACAAGCAGCCCTTAGCATTTACTTGGCTCGGTAAACTAAGCATTATTGTGCACAGAGAGTATACCCAACAGTAAACCCACAGGAGTTTGACAGTGAGTAAACTCTAAGTATACTCATAGTTGGTCAGAGAATCTACTGTTGTAACAGAAGACAGTAAATTCTCCTACTTCAAGCAGTGTCTGCAACTAAGGTGTTGGACTAAGTAGGGCTAGGGCGTAGGTATCGATACTAAGTGTTGGACTAGGCCTAGGGCATTGATACTTAAGTGTTAGGCTAAGTAGGGCTAGGGCTAGGGAACCGATACTTAGGTGTTGGGCTAAGTAGGGCTAGGATATTGATACTTAAGTGTTGGATTAAGTAGGGCTTGGTCTAGGGCTAGGGCATCATTACTTAAGTGGACTAATTAGGGCTAGGACTAGTGCTTAGGACCTCCATACTTAAGTGTTGGGGCTAGTAGGGCTAGGGCATCGATATTTAAGTGTTGGGAAAAGTAGGGTTAGGGCATTGATACTTAAGTGTTGGACTAAGTAAGGATAGGGCCTAGGGCCTGCTGCAACTAAAGTGTTGGACTAAGTAGGGCTAGGGCATCGATATTTAAGGTTGTAATAAGTAGAGCTAAGGTGTAGGCATCAATACTTAAGTGTTCGGCTAAGTAGGGCTAGGGCATCAAGACTTAAGTGTTGGGAAAAGTAGGGCTAGGGCATTGATACTTAAGGTTGGACTAGATAAGGCTAAGGCCTAGGGCCTGCTGCATCTAAAGTGTTGGATTAGTAGGGCTAGGTCCTAGGACCAGCTTCAACTAAAGTGTTGGCTTAAGTAGGGCTAGGGCCTCGTGCCTGCTGCAACTAGAGCGTCATCGTTTTACTCATTGCTGTACTCCACCTAGGGGGCGTGACTTCGGTTTGGGACACAGGCAATTAATTATCGTTTGTTTGGCTTCATTCAGTTAAAACAATAGCAGGTGGTGGGGCAGACCCTGGGGCCTGCTGCAACTAAGGTGTTGGAAAAAGTAGGGCTAAGGCCTAGGGCCATCTGCAACTAAAGTGTTCGACTAAGTAGGGCTAGGGTGTAGGCATCGATACTAAGTGTTGGACTAGGCCTAGGGCATTGATACTTAAGTGTTAGGCTAAGTAGGGCTAGGGCTAGGAGAACGATACTTAAGTGTTGGGCTAGGGCATCGATACTTAAGAAGTAGGGCTAGGAATAGGGCTTAAGACCTCGATACTTAACTCCTTGCGCGCGTTAATGCGCATGCGTGTAATTACCGCTTCCGCGTGGTTTTTTCGAGTTCGTGCATGCCGTTTTGTTTGCGTGTTTATACTTGGTTTAGGCCCGCAGACGAAGTCCAGATTCGTTCTTCGTGTGTTATAAAGCCTAGTGTCATCTTAGAGCCGCAGCGAGGCCACGTTTCCATGACAGATCTGCATTCATCGCTCTTAGATGCGTATTATACGCGCGGAAGGTGGGACAGTTGCTGTGCACACCAACCCCGCCTTTTATTTTGTACATGCGCAACAAAGGTCAATGGTGTAGCAAGGTCTGGCTGTGCCAGCGACTAGCGACAGACGAAGAGAGTAGTGAGTGTTCCTACGCATCTATATATATGCCAATCGCGTTGGCTAACATCCGCGTAACGAATCTATCACTAAGTACGGTAGTACTTAGTATATAGGGATGACTCAGGTTATCCTGCATTATGCCCATACATTGGGATTTTCATGTTTCACTTTCTATTTCAATCAGATCCAACTTTTGACACATCAGACTAATTTGTATTGTCACAAATAGCACGTATCCAAGAAATAGCTTAAATCGCATAATCGTTACTTGATTTATTAAAAAAAGTCCCTTTTAAATTTTGTTGTTGTTGTTGTTGTTGTTCAGTTTCAACAAGCGTATCTCAAAAACAGGGTAAGATATGAAGATCAAACTTTGCACAAAGATTGGAATCCATGACAGGTCGTGCACGAACATTTTTATTTCTTCGTAAACAATTTTGTTTACATGTAAACAACAACAAATAGCCCCAGGCAATACATTATTATAGAGACAAATAAAGTGTGCTAACTGGGTAAAGCTAATACCCAGAGTGATAAAACTTTGTACACACATGCAACCCATCATTAGTATCAAAATGGAAACATTACAAGTTTGTAAACAACAACAAACAGCCTCAGGCAATAAATTCTTGTAAATGACGTTTGTGCCTGTAACTTGCTTATTGTGGGTCCTCTAACATGAAACTTGGTACACTGATTTACAATGATAGAGTTCAATTACAAGTTTGTAAACAACAACAAACAGCCTCAGGCAATTAAGTGCTGTTTTTCCTTAACTTTGTACACTTATCTACTTTGGAAGTGAAATAAAAATGGAGATGACGACTAACAGTCCGAGGCAATGGATACATGTTACTTTTTATATGGACATTATGCCCCAAGCCCCAATGTATGTGCAGGAAAGGAGACAAGAAAAAAAAAAAATTCTGTGAATTAAAAAAGTGTGGAATATAGGGATGCCATAAAAAGCAAGGAGACAAGACAGGGATGACCTGGGCATGTCATGCAGTAGTACAATTGGATGATTGTTACATCTTCAAACTGACATTTCTTGCTCATGTAAAGTTTACTCCACACAAGCCCTATATTGTCGCAAAGCACGAGTGATATCTATCGTATGATGTGCAGCTATGACTCGTTGTCCTATGCACGTAAGAATGGTAGCAAATGCCCTCTCTGACAGGTCCTCAGTTTTGAATCGTGACTTCGTTTACTACAATGTTCGCTCAACTAACCGGTTTTACAATGCTGCTTTCCCTACAGAATTCGTTTGCCAGTCTTCACACTACACTATTCAAAACTCATGTCATGAGTAAGAGGGGCGGGCGACAAGATAGGGCTTGTGTGGAGTAAAATTTGCATGAGCAAGAAATGTCAGTTTGAAGATGTAACAATCATCCCATTGTACTACTGCATGACATGCCCAGGTCATCCCTGTCTTGTCTCCTTGCTTTTTATGGCATTCCTATATTCCACACTTTTTTAATTCACAGAATTTTTTATTTACTTGTATAATTATAGATCCAGTGTTGCGCTAAGTATGGCTAGGACCTCGACATTAAGTGTTGGGAAAAGTAGAGCTAGGGCATTGATACTTAAGTGTTGGACTAAGTAGGGCTAGGGCCTAGGGCCTGCTACAACTAATAGGGTTGTGGACTAGGGCCAGCTGCAACTAAAGTGTTGAGGGGTTTAGAACATTTTTGTGTCTTTCATTCAGAAGTGAGGCAGAACCTGAAGAATCAGAAAGTGGAGCAGACAATGGATCTGACAATGAGGCAGAGGAAGGACCAGACAATGGAGCAGACAATGCGGGAAGTGAACCAGGAACTACTGACAATAAGCGACTAGTGGTTAGAATATTTTGAGTCCTGTGTTTGTATTGAGAATTTGGCGTGCTAAAAGTATTAGATCACATAAATGACGATATATAATGTATGCACACACAGCTATTTTGACAGCCCATAATGATGTTTTGACCAATCTTATTCTCACCATCGAGGAAGAGCTAATGCATATAGTGCCCCACTGTAGTGATGGGACTTTCCCTCTCGGTGTAGGCATCATCTTCCCCTTATAGGTTCCCTCTTAATTTTTTAGCACCTGCATTTGCATTGCTTGCCAGTTAATGCTCTGCAGTGCATATAATTATAGGTGCATTTGCTTATGATCTACAGGGTGCACCAGACCTGACCGTCCAACTGCTGAAAAATCCCCATATTTTCTTAATCATTGGAGAGGTATTGTCCTCACACACACTACACCCTATATAATTATGCATCAGTAGAGGAGCATTGTTTGTGCATACATAAATTTGCCAAGTCTAGGGGGAGTGCCCCTTCACTCCTCTTTTAAATGCACCCCTGATTCACCTGTTTGATGTATTGTATGCACAGATGAAGAAACTACTAACAAAAATGGCAAAAATCCGTCTAATGGGGTGGAGGAAAGCAGACAGGGCGATAAATATATGCAACAGAAGTGTCAGAAACTCACAGATTGCCCAGCTCCTCTTCTACCTCACTGCCGTGCAACTCGGAAGATTACAACTGTATTTGAACCCTTCTTGAACCCTTCTGAGAGGGAGCAGGAGATTGGCCCACCCACAAAGCACTGGGCGTGTTTAGTGAGCAAGGAAAGGTATATATGCAGTAATGATAATGAATGCCCAATGTGCAGTTTGGCAGACATGTAAAAATAGACATAAAAATCATGCCCCTTTTTATTCCACAGATAACTCTTGTGGTCTCAGAGTCCAAAAGTCTTGGAAGTGGAAGGTGGGAAATCATTCTCCAAATTGGAGAAGAGTTGACATTTTCTAGAAAAGGGCCTAAGTGAAACAATAAAAGCCTTACACTTGTTCATGGCGATGAAAATCGAGACGAGAAGGCCCCAGTGACTCCGCTCTGTTCCTGTATTCCTATACCGAATATTGTCACCTAATACCGATTTGTCACCTACACTATAAAACACAGTTCGATTAACATGTCACATGAAAATATTGCCACACAAGTGTTGCTTCAAAATAACATCGGAACTACATATAAAGATCAGAGGGTGCACTTTAGCTCAAAGGCAGCTAACAATGCTGGGTGTAGACATGTCCATAAACCAGGCAGAAAGCTTTGGTGCACCATACTAACCATGTGTGTATGTGACAGTTTCTTGTTTGTCTCCCCTCTTCCATCTCCCACCTAACCTTAACCTGCATAGACTAGGTGGCACACTTTGCTCCAAAATTTCCCATGCCACCCACCTCCCCACTACCTAATAACTTGTAATACACTTTTGCTTTCCTTCCATCTTATTCATACTTTTTCTCTTTCCTTTTATTGAATAGAAATCCATTCAGTCATTCTCCGTGTTCTGCAATGATGTAGTTCGAAGTGCTTCAATGTTGTTCCTCCACTGTTGCTTTTAGTTGTTGTCTCTAAAGTCAATCATTGACCCCAACCCTCCTGTGTGATGTGTAGCTCACTGACCTGTAGAATTTAATCTTGTCGTCTAGCTCCTGTCCAACTGCTGATCCCTCCAGATATGCAAACATGTAGTTTCTGCAACGACGCACATAGTTCGCAATGTTTTCCTTTGAAACGCTCTCAGCCCCAGAGGAATGCTTCGTCGAAGAGAGCCAATGGTGTAGTCGCAGTAGGCCCTTGTGTAACGCTTGCTCTGAGACCAAACACGCTCAATCGGGTTGAGCTCACAGTGAAACTTTGGAATGAAAATGCATGTGTGACCAGCGTTGCTTAGAAATGTGTCAACACGACATTTTTCACTCTTGAAGTCGTCGTGGTCAGCTAGAATTGCTCGCATGTCTTCCAGCTTCATCCCCCTCGTGTCATAACCTCTCTCCTCGAGAACAAGGGCTGCTCCCTTTGGTTGTCCGTCAGTCAGAGTCATGGTTTGTGGCTGTCCATTCCAGACTGTGTCTCGCATTTTCGGCTGTTTTCCCCCGGGGCCTTTGTTCATCCTGGAGGCAATCAAGGCATCCTCTGCAAATGCAGTGTGGTTGCAGCTGTGGTCAAAGCACCAGATGTGGTGGTATCCCTGTGATGTTGGATACTTGACTTCAGCGATTTTCACAGCTTTGGCAACCTGCTCCATGAACCGTTGACCAGTCCAATATCCCTCACGGTTCTTGCTGATCTCCAGGAGTGCAAGGGCAGACTTCTCAATGCCACCAGCAGTGTTTGCCACCTCCAGTTCATACTGCTGATCAGAGAGTCCCAAGTAGCCATCTTTCTCCTCAATGAACTCTGACACCATGATGGAGGAGCCTTTTCCCTTTGGCTTGATGGGCAATTTTCCCTTCTCACCCCACAGCATTGGCGTGTCTTCGGTTGTGTTGTAGGCACTCTCGTCGTGGAACCACACAATGTGCTTTTCTCCCTCTTCCTTCGACATGTGTGGAACATCGGCTGGAAGTGCTCGGGCAGCTTCTTCTGTGGGAGCATTGTCGTGATGGAGATATCCACATTCGTCATAAATTTCTCCCTGGACTCCACGACATCAGGGCGCTCGTGGCCATCAATGAACAACCCCCTTTGATATGTGGAGAACATCAAACCCAAGATCATGGAGCCACTTTCTCGCTGTTTCCACAGACACCCTGCGAGGGTAGCCTGGCTCAAGGGTGGAATTTGGTAGTAGGTCATTGTTTACCCACTGACAGAAGGCTGTGGCTGTAAGGTTGGGTCTACCTTTTGGAGCAGCATTTTCCCGTACGTAGACTCTTGCCCTCTCGCTGATTTCCTCGTTCGATATGAGCGTGTTGTTCTAGTGTAGTGGCCTTGTTGAGAGTCTGAAAACTCTCACGTGTTTGATGCAAAGTCATCAACCAACGTCTGATGGGGCATTTCGATTCTTCTCTCCGACAGCAGTAGCTTGTGTCGGTTTTTTACTTGAGGACCAAAAATAGTGGGAAGCCTTGTATACAGAGTAGCGCCATGTGCTGCAAGTCCTCCCGGGGAAGACTACCAAGCCAAGCCTGAAGTGATTCATCGCCCATGGCAGTGATTTCAGAGAGCCTTCGTCGCTTGGTGGCTGCTGGTGCTTCCTCGCTGCTGCGTAATGAACTTGATGACGGTCCGCATTCCTGCTTCCTCACTCTCTTCGACCCTCTCTTCCACTGTTCTGACCGCCGTCATCCTCCCCTCACTCCTCCCATTGCACCCTGACTTCAAGCGTCTCGGACCCGCCGTCATCCACCTCACCTCACTCGACCTCTCTTCGACCCCGTTCCTCAGTTTCCCATACCTGCCGTGGGCCTCACTCCCTTCGACCCTTCTCCACAGCTCCAGACCCACCATCCCCCCTCGCAACCATAACATCCTTGCGCTTCCGGTAGTTCATCGCACCAGCCTGCTGTCCTTGGCGGCATCTGCAAAAAAAACGGAACAAAAAACTACGTGCAAAAACAACTTCCCGCCGGTTTCCTCCGTGAGACGAGAGGTAGGCAAGCCTCTGCAACAGAACAGACGATCTCCAACAGGTGCTGATCGTAGAGTAAACTCGTTCCAAGCGGAAGAACACAACCAAGCGGCAACGGAGCCAGCTCGCTAGCGAGTTGGCGCGTTCACGAGAAGCCTTTTTATGCAAGTTGCCCCAGCCGGCCGGCCCGACAGCTAGGCCAGGCCAGCGGGATCAATTGCGCATGCGCATGAGGCGTCACGACCGCCGCTCTGTGCGCGCGCGTTTGATCGTGAATTCGCGATTGATTGCGCATGAAACGTGCGCGCGGTCACTCCCACACCATATAAAATTTTCACGCTTGACCGGTAAAAATGTCTTATTACGTGACGTCACAGTATGCGCATATGAGACTCTACGCAAACATTCCTCGGCGGGTACAACGCGTTAAAAACGGTTTACGTGCATCTCAAACGTCCTGAACAAAATACAGGGTCACACGGTAGAGAAAATCGCAAATGCGTTAACATGCAAGAGACGTGCATAGCCCGTCGTAATTTTCCGGCTGCCCACCATACAGTGCTGAAGTTATAATTTTTCTTAAATATTGGACACTTATGCCCTTGTGCACTAAGTGCAAATTGCCATATATGTCCAAAAATAGTATCTGGATGTTGTAATGTGTTTTTGCTGATACAGGCTACCACGTTGGGAAGTGCACAGGAGACATATTTCGGTTGCCATGGAGACAGCTTACTTGTAGGACTATTCAGGCAGCGGGCGCAATATTTAGCAAAATCTATTTTTGACGGACATCATGCTCTGTATGTCTCACTCTAACATATAAACACAAACTAGCACATGTTTGGTTTTTTCACCAAGTAATTCTTTGGCCACTGTACATAGTATATTTTTCAAAGAATTTTAATTAAAAAAATATTTTTGAAACCTATAGCATATGATATGAAAAAACATGTAAATTCAAGTGGAAAATTCCTGAAAACAATTCAGTGACTTTCGGTAAGAGACACTCTTCGATGTGACTGGTATTGCTTAAGTGCCAGTTCCAATTCTTGACCAGGGGTGTGTCCCACTTGATAGGCTCGCATTATCTCTCTTACTTTTCGAAAGTACTTGCGTATCATATGAGGGTGACAGAACTTGTTTCAGTGCCCTATCAATTGTCGTTCTCAAGCACCTGGATGACTAGTCACAGTGTGTGCTGAGGCTTGGTAATGACTTTGCTGTCCCAGCAGCGTTCAATGGGATTTAACTCGCAGTGGAATTTGGGAATAAAAATAACTATGTCCTCGGCTGCAAAGGTATGTTTCCACCTTCGTCTTTTCATACTTAAAATCAGCCATCTCTCCTAAAACACGACGCATGTCAGCAGCTTTCATACCACGTACATCCACTCCACGCTTGATCAGAACACGCCCCATGCCCTTTGGAACTCCGTCCGTATCAACAAGCTTGTAAAGTTTGCCATTGTACGTGGTATCTCTCATAGCTGGTTGACCACCTCCAGGGTTAACATTCATGCGTGATACTTGTAAGGCATCACTGTCGTATGCTGTATGGCCGCTACTTTGGTCAAATAGAAAGACAATCGTGTTGTTCGCCCTGGGATACTTTATCTCGGCGATGGTGACAGTGTGCTTGACTTGATTCATAAATTTTTTGCTGTTCCAATACCCTTGACTGTCACTCCCATACTTCAGAATGAACCGAGCTTCTTTCCATAAGTTGGGATGGGAGGATCTGGCTTCATCATACTCTGCATCACTTAGCTTTAGGTATCCATTGCGTTCATCAATGAAAATCGCTCACCATCAATCCCCTCCCCTGCCCTTTTGGCTTTACCTGTTGACTCCATTTTTCTGCCCACATCCAGCCTTGGTCATCATTGGAATGGAAGGTACTTTCATCATGGTACAACAACACAAGCCTTTTCATGCTGGAGCCCACATTTGTCTCAGGCTCATCACTAACCGGTATGTGTGGATTCCAACACTTCTAACTTTCTGAGATACAATTTACGATAATCCACTACGTCTTTCCTCTCATGCCCGTCTATGTAAAGCCCTTTCTTTGTAGATGAGGGATTGAAACCGAGCTTGTGAAGCCAGCGAGTAGCAGTCGGTATCGAAACTTTAGCTGGAGCTTCAGGATGATGTTTTATGACTAAGGGAAGTAAATTGCTCTCGAGCCATGCACAAAATGTAGCTGCTGTCAGGTTAGGCTTTCCCTTTGCTGATGCATTGTCCCTTAAGGGCTTTATCACGATACTCGTCATCAATTGCGATGTATTTCTTATATTTTCCTTTGCTGCTCTCACTAAAGCTCCCTTTGTTGTCAATCCAATCGTACCTCCAGCGTCTTACGGTTTTTTCATTTACCCCAAGCAATAGCGCAACCTCCTGCTGCTTTGGTCTGCAGCAGACCAAAACGTTCAATGTAGCTGTCGTACAGCATCATTGCCATCATTTGCAAATTCTATTTCGGGAGAGTTACCAGCCACTCATCATACATAACATACCCGTGCATCGTAGCTTGTAAACTCCCCCCGGTAATCCTCACCATCACTCTCTCTGTCGCCACTTTCTGTCGGGATGGGCAGAGCAGAAGGTCCAGGCAGCTGTGGTGGTTGTCGCTGTCTCCTGTCTCGCTCGCTTTTTCTCCCTCATTTCTCCTGCCAACCAAGCGAGCGTTCGCTTCCTTTTTCGGGACATTTTGGGTGGCATGACCAGGCTGACACCTTGACAGGTTACTTGTAGCACCGTCTTCCCCAGAAACACCCCTAGGCGACGATAAACCACTGCCGCCTCAGCGAAGGCCGGTTGCGCATCTCTTCCACGAGTTTTTGCGCATGCCACGTACATATCATGAATAATTAATCTCCATAGCAACCGCGCGGGATCAAAGAGTTCTGCAGGAATCTGATTGGTTAAAATAGAAATGGCCGTATCTCATGCTGGACTGGGAGAATAAGAATGGGACTGCATACAGTCGTAGTACTAAGCTAACGGAATGACGTGACCGGAAATATTCCGCGTACTATTTCTACCGGCAGAATAACATCATCGTAAATATTTGGACATATATGTGACCGTGCACGCAAAAACCAACCTTACGCCGCATTTTTGTGAAGTAGCTTTTTTGTATCGTTGTAAAGCTTGAAATGTGCTTGATACAGCACTTATTTTTGTATATTTTTTGGGAAAACCCTTTAAAAGTTACGATTTTTCAAATGCGAGCCACGCGGGGTTATACAAAACGCGAAATAGTGGAATGAGTATTCTTGTCCGCGCACGAATATGACGGTCACGTTATGGGATTTTTCCCTGGGAAATTTTAGCCAACCAGAGAGATGCGGTGTGAGCATTAAGTTTGACAGCAGACGAACGATTCTATTGGCCCTACCGGGCTGAGTTGACTTCAGGCCGAACTTGTCGTGGCAGATCTTGGCGTAAGTGAAGTATCATGAACGCAAAAAGGCCGTGTAGCCACACAGCGTGCGGTATTTCGACGGCTACCTGACGTCTCTCGGAAAATCGATGACCGGAGGCACTCTGCTCCCAGCAGTTTTGGTCTATTCAGTTTGGACGTCAGTACAGCACGTACGTAGAGAAGAGAATGTGTAAGTGAAGTGTGTGATGTGTCTGTATTTGCCGTGGTTCGCACGTGCGTGCGTGATTTGCAGGCGTCTTTGGTCCTAGACGCCGCCTGTGGCATCCATCACCAGATTTAGGACCGACAACCTGGGAAGATTGACATAAGGTTTGTGTAATGTCCGCATTTGTACACATGTAGCTGTGTGTTTAGTCCTCCTTGCATGTCCTTCGGGAGTGTCCAGGTCCACCACACTTTCCACACTGCCTTTTATTTGGTGGTGGTGGTGGTGGTGGTTGTAGTGGTGAATCCTGCTCACTGGTGTCTTCTACCCTCTCTTCCTCTATCCCACGTGATGGCATTGGGCAGACAAGATCCTCTGTCCCTTCCCTACAGTACTCCCGTATCTGTCTGTGCAGATACCACTGCCTAGCGAGGGAGAGTCCAGCGGGTCTGACCACATGTGGCAGTTCGTTAGGTAAGGGTGTCCACTCATTGCACATCATTTTGTATGATGCCCCTGCAGAGTCGCTGTACTCCTGCATTACCACCACACCAGGCTGCTTAGCAGTGAAACTGAAGTGATGGTAGCTCTTCAGTTGCGGCACACTCCGGAAATGACCTCCGAGGAAAGTGGCCCAGTCATAGACAGTAACAACTGGCTCTCCTGTCTGTGTTCCTACTAGCTGAGGAACGTTTACGTCAGCCGATGTGTTGACTACCTCAGCAATATCCCCGAGAGAACTAACGAAGGTTCGTCGGTACCTGTTTGAACAATCCGAAACACCAATCGGGGGGAAAACTTGGTGTGCCCAACGAGCATGAAGGAGAGTCTCACATCTCGATGCCAGGTACTGTGAGTTGTATGTGTGAGTGGGCAATAAAAGGAAATAATGTGCATTGTATAATGTGTATACTGTGCATACCTGCAAGACTGTGTTGTTTTTATTTTGGCCAACACAGTTGTCAGCATGGAGACCTACATCAACCTCCCCAAGACCATGATACTGGAAGAAGTGATGCAGGAGGGAGACCACTGTGTTAGCTCCTTTGCCCACGTCAGATGCCTCATCAATGAGGTAATTGATTTGTCGTGGGATACCCTCACAACACACCCCAAACACAGCACACTTTCTGGCTGTTTTGAAATACATTGGCCCTGGCTGGAGTGGGTTGTGAGGGTAGTGGACCTGTTGGGCAAAATCAAACGAGTAGTGGACCATATCTGGCCCACTACCTGAGGGAGAAGCCGAGGCTGGAGGAGGGAGAGCAAGGACTCCGTTCTTCGTGAAGTGCGACTTCACCGCATGTCTGCAGTTTTCCACAGCTGTGCGGTAGAAGGACCTCGCCCTAGTCACCTTCATGAGATGTGCTTTTGCTTCTCTGAGTGTCTAATCAAAAAAGAAGCTTTGCTTACAAGGTAACAATGTCTTGTATGTGGAATGTCCTCTAATAGTTTGTGTTCACAAATACCTCGGATTTTTCCTCTTCACTGAGGTTGAAGGAGCGAACGATGGCAGTGCTGTTCTTCTGACAAGTGGCACAGAGGTCAGACATCGGTTTGCACACTACAACGTTGGCAAGGAAGTTCCTCCAAACTTTGCAGAAGGTGGTGTATGCGACTGGACCGAGGAGGGACTGAGAGACTGCTGTGCTCTGGTAGAGGGACCACACTGATCTTTTTGTGCAGCTAGATGGTAGCAGCTTTATGTCATCCCTCTTGTACCCAGGGATTCTGCCAGGTAGCAGTATACCATTGCTCTATGTATACTGTGTGATGAAGGCAATTATTGCCTTCACGTCTTCTAGGAGGAGGGCATTTGAACGTGCACGTCCAGAGTTGCCGTGTGTGCGACTAACCAGTCCCTCTCCCAGGTAGTGACACCTGAGAGCCCTCAGGCGGAAATCGCCAACGTCGTGCAGGAAGAGGAAGGTTTTCTTGCAGATTCGTAGACCATTGTGGTAGAAGGTTGACTTGTTTCTCTCTCTCTTCTTCAGCTGGTGTCTGTATTGGGTGGAATTCTGTGGGACCTCATTGCAGTAGGTAAACGCCATCACTTGTCCCATCAAAACCATGTCCAGCTCACTCCTCTGCATCTGCTGAGCATCAGACCGCGTTGAGAGGTAGTGTTTGAGAGAGAAGTTGGACGAACAGTTAAGAGAGCACCCACACCCATTCCTACAGAAATCCTCCACTTTCTCCACATCTTGATGGTCGATGTCCCTGAACTGAGGATGCACCTCCTCTGTCGCAACGGCCCCCTCTCCTGTGTTGCACTGCAATCCCTCCCAACCCCACTCCGTTGTCTCCCTCCTCGTCCCACATGTTGTCTCCCTCCTCTGCCAACCCCCTCCCCATGTTGTCTCCCTCCTCTGTCCCAACCCCCTCCCCCATGTTGTCTCCCTCCTCTGTCCCAACCCCTCCCCCATGTTGTCTCCCTCCTCTGTCCCAACCCCCTCCCCCATGTTGTCTCCCTCCTCTGTCCCAACCCCCTCCCCCATGTTGTCTCCCTCCTCTGTCCCAACACCCTCCCCCATGTTGTCTCCCTCCTCTGTCCCAACACCCCTCCCCCCATGTGTGTCTCCCTCCTCTGTCCCAATCGCTTCTGAACTTCCCACTGTGTGATTCACACTCTACCTCTGCCAGCAGCTCCAACTTCTAATGTCATGCCACCTGTAGATCTTCTCTCCCTCCTTCATGAATTGCCTCTGTAATCTCTAGTCTCTCTTGTTTCCTCTGCATCCGAACTTTCTTTGCTTTCCCTGCCCGTTCTTGATATCCAAGTATTGCCTTTGATGCTATAGTTTCTATGTCTTGAAAAAGTGATTCACTTGTGTCTGTGTTACAGTACTGTTATTGTTAATGCACATAACAGCAACTTCCTACCTTCATCTGCAGGCTCATCACTGTGCTGTGTTATAGCTTCCACCTCTACAGAAGACCACAGATATCCTACATGCATGCTGCCCATTACTACTAAACTACTTACCACAGGCACTGTCAATGCTGGCCAGCTCTGGGGCTATGTTATGATAATTATGATTATGGATGAGCAGTTTGTTTGTGTAAGAGTGGCGCGGAGACACTTACCTGGCTCCTCCTCTTCCTCGCTGCCTTCCGCATCGGTTTCCGCACTGGTACAAAAGAAGTCTGCGATAAAGTCGGACAAGTTGTGTCTGTCTCTCTGGCTCAGAGCAGCAGTAAATGGCTTCTCTGTGAGGCGATTCAAGGCAGAAGCAACGCTTTGACTTCTGTGCGCCATCTTTGCGTCAGCTACATGTACCGTCATGCTGTCACTCTTGTTGGAGACAGGTCGTTCGATCGTGTTTACCGTGAAAACTCCTGCCCGTTTGTGCTATGGATGCTGGTTCTAGATTCTAAACTAGACAGTTAACAGGC